CCGCCGCAGCGATCGCCTCGGCGATCGCGCGCACAGTGGCGGGCGTCGCGGCGGCGGGCGCGAGGCGGGGCTGCGCCGAGAGCCACGAGAGCGCGTGGGTTGGGCCGGCGAATCGCGCAAGGTCGAGCGGAGCAGCGGCCACCGCCTGCGCGATCTCCGAAACCACCTCTGGGGAAACGTGCGAGCCGCGCGAGGCGGCGAGGCGGTCGAGCTCATTCAAGTTGGGCGCCAGGCCGCCCACGGTCAAATCGCCGGCGGCGTGGGTGGCTTGCCGATAGGAGGCAACGCGGCGGAGCGCCGCGTCCAGACTCATGACTGCGCTCGCACCTCCTGATCCTGGCTACGGCTGCTTGTTTCTCCCATACAAGGTCGCTGGCCCGAGCGCCGATGCTGGTAATGCGGAATAACACGATGTTTTGACTGGGCAGTTCAAAAAACGCTATCACAAACGAAGCTCGCTGAATTTCTGTAGACAATTGAACAACAGAGCCGGACCTCCCCCTGTGGGCTAAATGACGAAACAATAGCTGTTTAATAAGTTCCCTGTAGCGTGCAGCAGCATGAGATGTATGTACAGAACAGTACGGTAATCCGGTGACGCAGTGCTCGCTCACCTATCGACGCCTTTACCGTACTGTACAGCATGTATGTATGATACGTCTAGCATCCAAGACAACTGCATGCACAGCTGCAACAAGCGGCTAGAATTGAAGAGGAGACACGTGACCTGGGCCCCACGCCAGCACTCGCTGCCCCATTTGAACACAAACACGCGTCCCCTCCCACCACTGACGGGCGGACACGCACCTCCAACTCTCACCTTGACTATCCCCACAGGCGTCAGGATGGTTCACATCGGCGGCGGCTGGTGATCCCACAAAAATATTCCTCTTCAGCGCAGGGCTGCGCAGCTGCGCCACTGCTGCTTGGGCCGAGCCGTTCGGAGACACATGTCATGCCAGGACAAATGGAGTGTACACGATTGGCCGACCCCTGACCGCTGAAACCGCAGCACACACAGGGCCCATGATTGGCCGCTGCGGCAGGCTTTCCGGGAGTGGACAGGAACGCCCGCGCGTGCGGCGAGGAAGCCGCGCCGGCCCCAGAGGGGGGGGCTGGCGGGCGAAGCGACACGACGGCAAAGTGCCACCAGGGCCGCCCTGCGGGGCGTTGCGGGTGGCGGGCAAAGCGCACTCTCAGGCCGCAGCCGTTTCTGTCCAAGTTCATGCGTGCCCGTTTGCTTCGCGTCCACCCAGGTCGCCGGGTGTCCGCATCAGTCACGTCCGCGTCGCCTGGGAGCTGTACGACATCCACATGCAAACTGCCTCAGCACAGCCATGATCACGCGCACAATGAGCAGTTACACCTCATGCATGATTATGCATACGCCAATGCAGAATTTCTGATGCTCAAATAGACTTCAAGGCCGCCTTGAAGACCTGAAAATTGATGCACCCAGTGGTTCCCACAAACCTGGTGCCTGCCACCAGGCTGCCCACAGATGCGCAAGGCCGTTGCTGGTTGCTCTGGCAAAAGTTCATCATATCAATGAAGTCTGCGTTCATGATGGCTGAGCACAGTCCCATGTGTGCCGCCAGGCAGGAAAGCATGCACTCTGGCACATGGGTGCGCTCGGACGCCTTCATTGGTTGTTGGGTGACTAGCTGCAGGCAGCCTCAGTAAGTAAGGGGACCAGGCACCTGGCGCGCCGCGGGCGTCACACAAGCCGACGCCGTCAGCACAGCCTGCGCCTTCACCCCACCTGCACTGCTGACGCCACAAGCAGCCTCTGCGGCGGGTGCAGCCGGTGGTGACGGCCGCTTGCTTGTGGGCCAAGCGCGGGCTGGCGGTTCTTTTGCAGTCGCTGACATACAGCACACACACCCACCCCATGTCCAGCCACTCTTCCCAACTTCAGCAGCCCCCCACCCCAACATGTTTGGCCTGGGCCGCTCAACACCCGCACAGATCTACGACTTGGCAAGGGCCAGCAAGCCGGCAGCCTCGCTACGACTGCCTTGCGGCCTCAGACACGCCGCCGCCGCCGCCGCCGCTGCTGCTGCTCGCACCCGCGCCGCCCCCGCTGGCCGTCGCGCCCCTGCCGCACTCTTTGTTGTGGCCGGCCTTCCAGTGAGCCTTGGCGCACCGAGGACCGCAGTACCTGCAGTGATGAGCGCGCACACGTGCGTCTGAGTGTGGATGTGGATGTGAGTTGGCATTGGCGTTTGGGGCTTTGACTGCGCATGCGCGCACTTGGTCGAGCATTCCAAACCACGCCTGGGTGTGTGCACGCGTTCAGCGTGTGCAGGACGCGCAGCGCATGCAGTGCTGCGGGGCCCCATCCCCTCTTGCTGCGTCCATCCCGCCCAGTAGTGACATGCGGCTTGGCGCTCGCCGCCAGGCTGCTAGGACGTGATACAATCTAGCCGAACAAAATCAGCCCTGCCGCAGCGAGGGCGAGGGCACCAAGCACAACGTCCAAAGGTGACAGGGGTTGAGGGGGGGGGCTGAACAGATGACAAGGGCAGAGCCTGCGCTGCGCTCACCTCGGGATCCCGCAGGCGCCGCACTTTTTGAATTTCGAACCGTCCTGCGCCTGGCCCTTTCCGCACGCGGCGCAAGACGGTATCGCTTTCTGCCGAGCTGGTGGCGCCGCAACCGCCGCCTCAAAGCTGGCGCCGCCGCCCAAGCCGCTCGCGACGCCGCCGCGCAGCCGCCCGGCCAGCAGCGCCTCGAGCGCCGCGGCAGCGTTGGCAGCCGGCGACGCGGCGTCGTCGCCGTCGGCCCCTCTGGCGCCAGCGTACTCGGCAACAGTTCGCAGGGCCACGGCTGCCCTCTCTAGCGCGACGGCCACGCTTGGCGCGCGAAAGCGCAGTGGACAGGTCGCGTCCACGCACCCAGGGTCCGTGCACGGCACGCAGCCGCGCGGCGGCGGCAGGCCCGGCTGGCCGCCACAGAGTGTGTGCAGCACCTGCAGCGCAGAGCCCGACGTCGAGCCGGCGGGGCCGGGGACGCCCGCGCCTTCGACGGCCGCCGCCGCCAGCCAGGCGAGCACGCCGGGCGTGGCGGCCATGTCATACTGCGCAGAGGTCGAGCGCAGCGCCACGGTCCGCGTCCTGCTCAGCCCCTCCCGGCCGCCCGCCGCGAGGCCGCCCCACACGAGGGCCCGCAGCTCAGCAACTGGCGGCAGCGCCGCCGCGGCCGCGCCCCTCGCCGCCGCGGGCGCCGCGGCAGGGTTGTAGGGATCCTTGAGTGCATAGGCGACGGCACCGAGGGTGCCCGCGATCTGGGCGCCCAGGGACGCGGGGTCGATGGGCGGGAGGTGACCTCTGGCGGCGGCGCCGCCGCCGCCGCCGCCAGGCGCCGCGTACGCGGCGGGCCCGCGGCGCGCGGCGCCGACCAGCGCGCGCAGCGCGCCGTGCCGCGGCGCAGCGAAGTCGAGCGCCCAGCGGTCCCCGCAGCTGAGAGCGGCGCAAAATTACGCCAGAGCCGCCGCATTGTGCAGCAGTTGTGCGCGGTCAGTGTCGTGCTGGCGCCCCTTGGTGCTGCACGCGGCGCGCAGCGCAGAAGCGACTGTTGCCGGGGAGCCCGGTGCCGACACGACCAGCGGCGCTGGCACGCCGGCCCCGCGGTGCATGGTGGCGCGCAGCAGGACTGCGGCGAGGGCGGGGCACGTGGACTTGCCGCCGGCCTCCAGAAGGGCGGGCGCCCCCGCCAGCACCGCCAGCAGGGGCGCCTCAAGCGCCGCCGCCGTTCCTGCGGACGCGCGCGTGGCATCCAGGTCCGACTCGACCGCGCCCTGCAGCAGCGTGAGGCAGCAGCGCACGGTGTCCTCGCCCCAGCCATCCCAGCTGCCGCCGCCGCCGCCGCCGCCGGGCCGGACGCGGTTTGTCAGCGCCGCGAGGATTTGGCGCAGCGCGGGCGCGTGGGACGCCAGGTCCCGAAACAGGGCGCGGAGTTCGTCGCTCGCGAGCGCGATCTGGATCCCGGTGGAGAGCGCGGTTGTTTCCGTCACGCCTCGATCCCCCACCCCGGCGCGTGCGGCGGCCGCAAGCTGCGCGGCGACGGCGGACCAGAGCAGGCGCCCCGCACGCTCCCGCGAGACCGCGGCTGCTGCTGCTGTTGCTGCCGCAGCGGCGGCGGCGAGCGGGGCCGCGCGGGACCGGTTTGGGGCCGTCAGGTGCACCGCCATCACGACGAAGGGCTGGTAGTGGAAGGAGCCGTCTATCAGCGCTGCGCGCAGCAGGCCGGTCAGCGTCCCCGAAACCTTGGATCGTGCGAGGCAAGTGGGGTTTGCCAGGTGAGGTGCTGGGCGTCCAAGGGGGAGGCAGCAATCGACTGTTTGAATCGACAGCAGGCTGTCGCTGACGCGCGCTGCAATCAGACGCAGATCGCTTCGCCGCCCACCTGGAGCGCCACAACAAAGAGTTCGGGTTTTGACACCTTCTGGGACGCCTCGCGTCCCAGCAGCGCGCCGCCCAGCATCGCCGCGTGCTTGGCGAGTGTCACGTGCGGCCCGTAGGGATGGCAGCAGGGGCAGACGGCGGCGGGCGCGTCGCTGCAAGA